TCTCTCTCTCTCTCTCTCCTGAAAATCCTACCAAGAAAAATTTCCTATTTGAGAACAAAAATGACTTTTCTTGAATAATGACAATTGGTAAGGTATACGTTAATCAGATCTATGGTGAAAAACTAATTTAGCACTTAAACCTTGGGAAAAGCTGATATGGGAAGACAAATGGATTTGGGGAAGGTTATGAATTTCTGAGGTGCCTGTTAGAACTTCTCCTTGAAACCATATATAAAAGCATATTGGGTATAGGCTGGTATAGGTTACTAGGACAAAGCACCATGTCACCTAGGACTGGAAGCAAAAACTCTCCTTGTAAAGCCTACAATGGATGACAAGGGATGCTAGAGAGGAATTAGGTTCAGAACACCAGAATTTTAAAGCAATTACAAAGAAAGAACACTTTTACTTTGTTTTCTATTTTTTTGAAATTGTAGAAATAGAAAAAAATAACAATATTCAGTAAGATACCTGCACAATTTTTGTTTCCAAACACACCTCCTTCTCTTATCCCCACTCAAGAATGCACACAACACCTCAAACTATACTAGTAACTCCCACAATCTAGAGGAAAGTGTTTGGTGGTTAATGGATATTTAACCATCAATTCCTAGATTCCTGTTCCAACATAAAACATAAGGGCAGAGATCATAGAAAGAGGAAGAAGCACTGAAGACTATGGAACTAGTGACTACAGGAAAGCCAGGATCAGAGTAAAGGAGAGAAGATTCATAGTTCTGACAGGGAGAGAGAAGCTTCTACTCACCCACGTATCTTCCACTCTACTCTTTTCTCCTGGGAGGAAAAGCTTTGTTTGGAAACAGAGTTTATTACTGAGCATTTTGTAATAAAATAAAACCAAAGCTTGACACTTACATTTCATTTGCTTGAAGATGGATTTGTTAAGTTCAAGCCAGTGCTAGGGAAAAAAATAAAAACAAAAACAAAAGAGAGATTGTTGGTCAAATTGTTTAATTAATAACTAAAAGGAATTCTAAGGTATATCCTTGGTTCCTATAGCTATCCCTTACTGTTTTGAAGACCAAAATTATAAAAACTTGATAATAATAAGAAGGGGAGATATATATTACATAGGTTAACAATTTCTGAGTAATGCTTGAATCATACATTTCTTGGGGAGAAGGACAAAGTAGAGAGTATGCAATTAATCGAGATATTCTAGGTGACCCCTCAATGATTCCGTCACAATTTAAAGTAGTAGCCATAGCTAGTTCCTCTTCCAGTCAAGGCTTCTCTAAGCATTGGGCCTAAGCATCATGAGGAAACAGGCAATTCTTCCTTTACAGTAAATACTAATACATAAGTAAATGTAGGGCATCAAGAAGAAAAAAAAAATCATCTCTATTACAAAACAGAAGATTTTAGTAGTCCACAACCATTTTACTGGCAAGCAATTATTTGAAGCAGACACCAAACTAGTTTCCATGGCCGACTCTCCCTGAACAGTGCAAAGAGGCCACTTGAAGCACACTAGGAACCAGAAAGCTTTTGAGATCATTAATCATGTGTCTTTGAATCTGCCCAGGGAAGGTCACGAGGAGTAGTTTTATATACCTGCAGCTTATAAAGACAACAAACACTGCAGCTGGGTATCCAACAATCAACCAGGAGGTCAGGGAGGCCTACTTCTTCGGCACTTGCCTTCTCTATATCGGAGAGGCAAGAAGAGTAGAGTTACCATCCAATGAGTCCTTACACTTGATTCTGTCTCTCTTATGTTATCCAGTAAACCCCAAGGCTCTGTATTATCCTTATTGCTTGATGTAAATTCACACTCACAACGCGCATCAAAAGCTAACATTCACTGAGTGCCTACTGAACTCCTGTCCTTCAAAACTTTCTTATACAGGATATCTTATTTACTCCTCACAAGTACTCATTTTCCAATTAGAAATCTGTGGGTCTTGATGTTGAACAATTTGCTTGATTATTACCCACCTGATCAATGATGGGATTCTAGAGAGAGGATCTTTACTGTTCCAGCTATGCAACCTCCTACCCATCAGTTTGTGTGACAATGCATTATTCTCTTTAATGAATATTCATTATTTTCTCAGGAAATGAAAAATTGAGTGACCAAATCAGTAGTTTGCAATCTAAGATGTCAGATTTCTAGAGTTTTCCCAAAAACAACAGAGATTATTTTAATTGTTTCAACATAATGCATTTTTTTTTTATAAGACACCATATATTTACCCCATACAGACAAGCTGGCAGAGCATGGTGGTTGGGTTTTGTTTTGTTTTGTTTTGTTTTATTATTGTTGTTTTAGTTTGGTTTGGTTTCTGGCCCAAATGATATCAGCTTATTTTAGAAATTCTCACTATCTCATAATCAGAAATTGTATAGCTATAATCAAACAATCGACAATTCATTTTATCACTTGCTATATGCATAACCACATAAAATATTGTCTATATCTCAAACAGCACAAATATAAAATGGAAATCATGCTAGCATCTACATTAAAGGGTGTCTCAAGGATTTCACGTTAATGAAAAGATAATAAATGTGAGTCTCACAGTGGCTGCCCTTCAAAAATAATAAAGATATGTTTGTTGCTGTAATTTATTTAGTGCATATAATTTAAATTAGTAGACCTCATTTTTCAATAGGCTTCACAAAGGTGATTGTCTCATTTTGCTAGAAATAAACAGGTCAAGTATGAAATAAGGCAAGAAAGAATAAGAGGAATCAGAGAGTTGCACAGATTACTGTTTCATGAAGATAATCAGCAGTCATTTTGCCAGTCTGAATATAAATACCTTTTTGAAGTTCTACTGCTTAGCATTCTTTGAATTCCTCAGCCCTTCCCTGCTAAATTCCAACCTGTCTCTCCTACTTCTCTCTGACTCTAGGAAATAAAATTCAGTTTTCTGTTGAATGATGTGAGAATGGTCCCAGTTAGTACAAGATGAAGGCTTAGAGGAAATAGATGCCATTAATGGATTGGCTATGTCTGCCATGGAGACAGGTAGCAAGTATTTAAGACATGCCTTCAAGGTATTTGCTTTCTGTGCCTTAAATAAATTACTTACTCTAAATGACCTGCTTCTTCATTCCTCTAAGAAATACACCTTGCAGTTTCTTATCAGTTCCCCTTTTCCTTTCCTTCCAGGCTCTGAATATCTTACCTACTTTCACAGTATGACTGATATTTACATTTTCCAAGAAAACATTCTTTGCTAAAAGAATAGTCACAAGGTAGAGAGCCCTAGGGAAAATAACATATCAATAATAATGTTTCAAAGAATTATAGGAAACCATGTTTTCAAAGAGGGTCAAGTTCAAGTTCAATCTGTTAAAATTTATTAAAACAACCACAAAAACGAATGGCAATGGCCAAGCATTTCCTTTATTCTTCAATTCATGTACATGAAACAAAGAAGTGCACAACAATTTTATGTGAAATAATAAAGGAGTTAAAAAAATTAGAGACCATTAGTAGGAAAATGGGTAAATAAACTATAGTTTACTCATATTCTGGATGATTCTGTAGTAAGCTACAAATCAGCAGTCACCACTTGCCAGTGAAAAGCAAGGAAGGAAGCTTTATTTATGGCCAGGGTGTCCCTGGATTCCAGGTGAGTGCTCAGAGAACAGCCTTGACTCATGGCTACAGTTAATTTTTATAGACAAGTGCAGTGGTCAGAGTTTAATTTCCAAAAATACTCAACCATAATCCCCTATCCCAGCTTAAGCAAGCAAGCAGGTTAACGGAAGCAGGTGTTTGCAAGTTAGCAGTTGTCTTCGTTCTTGACCAAGACATTCTGTGGTATTTAGGTTATTCGGCTCCCTGGTATTGTGCATTGTTTTTGGCTCCAAAGGTTTCAAAGGTTGCAAGGAAATAACAAGTACAAAATTTATCTTTGGGAGGTCACCTTAAAATGACATTCCTTTGGTTTAGTTAGGGACCTTCACCACTTCAGATTCCACAGGAATGGTTTATATGAGACAGAGTTTTATGGTTTTATATGAGGTAAAGTTCTATGCAGAACACAAACGGAGCTCTTAGGAACAATGTGGGGTGGAAATGTGAAATTTATAATTGTGGCTGCAGTTACCAACCAAGAGGAATACAGCTCTACCAAACATCTGTCAGTACCACGGTAACTATGAATTCTGCAGAGTTCACAGTTCCACCATTAGATTGTGCTTTATTTCTTTTCATCTCATTTTCTTTTGCAAATATAATTTTCTTGCTCTGATAAAAGGCAAATAACATCTAAAATTAGGCATGGTACAAGCAAAAAACTTAATGATGTCCGATAGGATCCTGGGAATACCCGAGGTACAAACATGCCACTAGGAAGTAAGTAATTAGAACAAACTGAAAATGCTATTTTTATAAAACTTTTGTGTACAATTTTGTCAGTTGCTACTTTCCTGTTAGCACATAGACAGGCATTAAGTTGTTTGGATTTAATTCTTACTTATATGGAACTGTTCTCTAAGCCTACAGAGAGCTATGGAGTAATGACTAAGAAAGCCGTATACTGAGAAAGTTTCAGAAAGTTTTGAACTAGTCTATCATATAACTAATGCTTTGTTTTTAAAATAAAAATACATATATTAAAAACAAATATAACCATCTAATGCACCTAGAGCTATTTTTAAATTTTTTGTTTTGTTCTTTTTTTTTTTCTTGGGACAGGGTCTCCCTATAGCTCCAATTGGCCTGGAACTCCATGTGTTGACCAGCCTGGCCTCCATCTCACGGAGATCTGCTCGCTGCTGCCTCCCAAGTACATAAGTGCTTGGATTAAAGGCATGTACCACTAACCCAGTCACCTTTTATTTTTTATTTTTTAAGGTTTGGAAGCTGTACAATAAAGTGACACCAATAAGAATATACACTAGGGGTGAGGAACACAAATTTAGGGGTATTGGCCAAAGGAATTTAGGAATTCAGATTTTTGGGTGACATTTCATGAGTGACATCTTTTTTTGCATGAATAATTAAAGATAAATTTTTCAAACATAGAAAGCTAACCTTTACGTAGGGGATGAAAAGTGGATTTCATGTAATTTATGCTCCGGAGGAAGAATTTCCTACACAAGACAATGCGAAGTGAAACTCAGCAGCCCGGGTCACAGTCTTTCTCCTCCGCTGCTGTAGTGGTAGCTTGCAGCGAATTCATTTTTTTTTGCATGAATAATTAAAGATAAATTTTTCAAACATAGAAAGCTAACCTTTACGTAGGGGATGAAAAGTGGATTTCATGTAATTTATGCTCCGGAGGAAGAATTTCCTACACAAGACAATGCGAAGTGAAACTCAGCAGCCAGGGTCACAGTCTTCCTCCTCCGCTGCTGTAGTGGTAGCTTGCAGCGAATTCATTTCTTATGGCCTCTTTTGCCCTGCTCCCCTGTCTCATTTTCAATTCTATTCTACATGAGGACATTATGTATATATTCGTAATACCAGCTTTGAGCCTGTTACTTCTTCATCCTCTTCTTTTCATCCCTTCCTTTTCTTGTTCTTGCCATTAGACTTATGAACAGGCCAATGAAACTGAAACTCGCACACCAGCAATTCTTCTGGCTAAATGAAAATTTAACCACTATGATATGATGTTCTTGGTAGTTAAATTAAGATTAGAATACTTATTCCCCATTGCTTTTTACCTTTCAGTTGCTACCTGCAACATAGGACATTTTAGTTTTAAAAAGATAATTTTGTTTTATAGTCCTTAAAAGAGGCAGGAAGAAATAAAACCTGACGACCCAATATGTGAATTCATGGCTGCTTGACTGTAGCTGAGAATTTCATTTCTTCTATTCTCTTTACAATAAAATTCTTAAAGTGTAAGTTCAACAAAATGAACTTAGGAAGCATGAGGAAGCAAAGGATGTACCAACTAGTGTTGAATGTGTTAGGAAGGTGATCCCTGCAGA